ACGTCCTCCACAACTAGACTGAAGAACAAAAGGACAGCAACTTGTCTGTTCCCCTTCCCCGATTCCCCAATGCTGTTCCCCTCCTCCCAATTCTCCAATAAAATCTTAAAAAAAAAAAAAAGGCTGGGGTAGCAATACATATATGAGACAAAATAGACTTTAAAACAAAGGCTATAAGTAAGAGACAAAGAAGGATCCAGCATTTCCACTTCTGGGTATTTATCCAAAGAAGCCCAAAACACCGATTTGAAAAGACATACGCATTTCTATGTTCACTGCAGCATTATTTACAACAGCCAAGATACAGAAGCAACCTAAGTGTCTATTGATAAAAGAATGGATAAAGAAGAGTGGTAAATATATATACAATGGAGTAAATGCAGAGAACAAAGTGGTGGTTGCCAGATGGGAGGGGGGTTGGGCAGATAGGTGAAAAAAGTGGGGGGGATTAAGATGTGCAAATGGCCAGTTATAAAAACTGTCACAGGGATGTAAAGTACAGCATAGGGAATATAGTCAATAATATAATAACTATGTATGGTGTTAGATGGGTACTAGACTCATGGGGGTGATTGCTTCATAAGTTACATAAATGTCTGATCACTATCTTGTACACCTGAAACCAATATAATATTGAATGTCAACTGTAATTTAAAATTTTTTTAAATAAAAAACAAGTGGATGTTGTTTTAAGCCCATAAAAAATTTTATATAATTATTAAGCCAAATTTTAAAAATTTAAATTGAAAAAAATCATCCCTAAAAATAAAAATTAAAAAGTTAAGCAAGTGAGGAATACATCCAGTTGGTAGTATAATCATTCAGAAACCAGTAGGGTCATGTCAAAAGCGCCCAGGAGCCAACTAAAGTGTCTTTCAGTAGCCAACTATAGACCTATTAGACAAATACATTAGAACATGAATAAAAGGAGAAGTGTAGTAAACTGAAACATATCTAATGTGTTCAAATCCATGAATTCATAATGATAAATTAATTGATCAGAGGCTGAGGATGCTAATAAATCAATTCATTATTCCAAAAACTGGTTTAAAGAGGGGGCAGGGAAAGAATCCAGCATTTATCCTGTTTTTTCTACAAGAATTATATCATAGGGGAACTAAATAGATGAAAAGAATTTCTCTTTATATAGAAGTATTCTAGTGAATAAATAAAGAAGGAATGACAATTAGAATATCACCATTCTGTAATTCTTTTTTTTTTAGTTTTTATTAAATGTATTGGGGTGACATTGGTTAGTAAAGCTATATAGGTTCCAAGTGTACAATTCTACAATAGATCGTCTATGTATTGCATTGTATGTGTAATTCTTGATAAACTCATGAATCTAGCACTAAGCATCATTGGCTACTATCACAAAAACAGATAACTGGCATCCTGTGCCACCTGATGAAAGAATAAAACACTCCCTATGAAATAGCCTTGCCAGAAAATAATAAAAGAGGAACATCAAACTTGAACCTGTAAAAGCCTCTCCAGATCCAACTATCCAACTACCTATTTGTAGGAAATAAAGAGAATAAGGGAACAATTGTCAAAATCTAAATTATGGGAAACTGCAAGAAAGGTGACCCAGTTTCTTCAACAAATGAATTGCAAGGGGGAAGAGAAGGGGAGAGAGATGGGAGAAGGGAACTATATACAGAGGGTGCCAAAAAAATGTATACACATTTAAGGAAAGGAAAAAAACTATTAAAATTGTAATACTCAATATATACCGATAACAAAAGATGAATACAAGTCACGTTTGACTTCTGCAATTGCAAGAGGTGCTCAAAGTGGTTACCATCAGCGTCCAGACACTTCTGATTATGGCGAACTATTGCTTGAGCAGCATTGACCAAAGTGTCCACTTGTATACATTTTTTTGGCACTACCGTATTAAAAGAGACTAAAAGACATTATCTAATCATAATGTGTAGTCCTTACCTGGATACTAATTCATTTAAAATTTTTCATTTATGAGACAATTGGAAATATATACACTAGATGATATGAAGCATGTTAATTTTCTTTAGTATGAAAGTGATATTGTGGTTATGTTAAAAAGGGGAGGAGTGATTCTTATTTTTTAGAAATACATAGTGAAATATTTATGAATAAAATGATGCCTGGTATTAGCTTCAAAATAATACAGGATGGGGAAATAGATGAGTAAGCATGTGGATGACACAGAACTGGCCAGGTATCTACCATCTTAGAACTAGGTGCTGGATTCTAGAGGTTCATTGTATGGTTCTGTCGACTTGTCTATGTTGGAAAGTCTCCATAACAGGTACTTTTAAAAATATGTTTTCATAAATTTAACACAGAGCTTGTTAAATTTCATTGTTTAACACATTATCAAATTCTATGAATATTCAGTGTTAATTAACAGATAGTGCTGGTATTCCACAGATGAACAGGATTCACAAAAAAATTGCATTTAAGATATTTTTGTTTTGATGGGTCAATGTATTGAAAATATTAAGTTCAATAAGCATTCTCTTACATACCACAAAACCTAGAGCGCTAACCTATAATCGTGAACAGGACAATATGTTATCCCATAACTGGTTCCCTCAAAGAAGACAAAGTCATCGATTTCACCTACACAGTTCTTACACGTAAGTACAAACAACTATAAACCAGTCTGCTTTCTATACCTAATTTTTAAAGTACTAGCAATTTTAAAGCATTATACTCAGCTGACATGTACACTATCCTCAGTAGTGTACATGAAGTGGAATGAAAACCAGTGCACTAATATACTGATTTGTAAAAGATAAAGAACTCTACAAAAAAAAAAAAGAACTCTACGTATGCTAAACCTACTGCCATTTAAGCATATCATTCACAAGGAACTGGAGAGGGCACAAAATCTGCTCACTTCTCTCAGCAACTATCTGCTTCTAGGAGCATTTACAAGCAGCTTTAATCTTCATGACACCAGGTCTTAAGCTTTGGGCATCTTTTATCTATCTCCCAAAGGACAAAAGTCATATTCAGTGTGTTAAATGTTCCAGATGTTACTGATTTAACTTCACTAACTATAAAATTCCCTTTCAGACAAGGAGTTTATTTAAAAAAAAAAGAAAGAAAGAAAAAGGAAAGAAAGAAAAGCATGGCATAATAAACAATCATAGGACTCTTTTAAACATACTATTTGCAAGTCAATTAAATATCCTAATTATATACTATACCTTACAAGTAGCAGAACAGAATGGTGCTAAATCAAGCGTAAGTGGAAAATCTACATGTCTGTTTACTTTGCGAAGACTCAATCCAGCCTTAAAAAGACAACAACAACAACAAAAATTAATGCAACATTCTAAATCACGTTTGTTAATTAAAATTAAAAGAGGAGGGCCAGCCGAGTGGTGCGTTGGTTAAGAGTTGGCTTGGGACACCAGCTCTGAGCAGCAGGGTCCCAGTTCGGATCCCACATGACGGCCAGTGACACTGCGCCCTCTACAGCTAAGATAGTGAACAACAGCTCGACCTGGAGCTGGGCTGCCATGAGTCACTGGCGACGGGTAGGTTGTAGCCTCTGCTGCAGTGGGCTGCCATGAGCAGCTGTCCAATGGCTGGCGAGCGACTGCCTCACCCGGGAAGAGCACAATGATAATACCAACATGGGCCAGTGAAGCAACATCCTCCACAACTAGACTGAAGAACAAAAGGACAGCAACTTGTCTGTTCCCCTTCCCGGATTCCCCAACGCTTTTCCCCTCCCCAACCCCCCAATAAAATCTTTTAAAAAAATAAAAAATAAAAAAATAAAATAACTCAAATAAAAAAAATAATAAAAGAGGAATCGTAGAAGTTATTTTTTTCATAGATATAAAAACATGACTAATGAATAGTTGAAAATCAATAAGTTTTTCATTAGGTTTCATAAACTGTTATTACAAAGATCACTCATTTAAATGTGCATTTTTACCACCAACAATACAGAAATAATTTCTTTTGTTGTGGCTTTTCAACACTTAGGGAAAAAATAAATTCAATGTGATAAAAGCTAAGCTACTGATACATATGCTATCCTGAAAGGTGTTCAACTAGAGTCAGGAGCCTGCTGTCCTAGGCCTGCCTGCATGACTGGCTAACAGTTAATGACTCCAAGCAACCTCATCTAGATCAAGGCAGAAAATGGGTATAATGGTTTAGATTAGATCCTTTTCAGTTCTAAAATTCAGTGATATTCATTCATTAAAAGAAAACAGCCTGAATACTCAAATCATTTTATCAACAAAAGTAAATGTTAAATATTATATAATAAATAAAAATGAATCTTCATGTTCTTAAGTGAGCTCTACTTCTTTCTCTATTTTTAATTTCCAAAGGCAGAACTTGGAAAATGTACACTTTGCATTATGTAATGATAATAACAACTAGCTGATAGACTGTCAAAGGTATTGGATAGGAAACCCACAAATGGAAACTCTGTTGGAATCAGAAGATACTTAAATCTGAATTTTTTAGGTAGACAAAAACTACCAGATGCAACCTTTCATGCAAGATTTCATGGCTTACTGCAACAACATAATTTTACTATCGATCTGTTTCTTATCCTCCTTTAAAGGAAAAAAAATGTATTTTTTCACCAAAATATACCCACTTACTGATTTGTTTTTTTCAAGTGATGATTAGAAGACTTAACATGATATCTGATGTGAAATTATGAAGTCATATCCCAGGAGTAATTTAATCTATACATATTGTTTGTTTGCCTGCTTTTTTCTCATTGAGTGACCACTATAAGCATCCGATACCAACACTGTTTGAGATCATTTCAGGCTGACATGTCCCCCACACACAGTACTTTGCTGTTGAGAAATTACCCCATAACAGGAGAGACTTTGTAAGGGGCTTTAATATGAATCTATTTTTCTTTCTAATTTATTTTTTACTTATAGTTGACATACAATATATTTCAGCTGTACAACATAGTGATTCAACATTTATATACTTTACAAAGTGATCATTCCAATTAAGTCTATTTAACCATCTTGAATCCCTTTTTTGAAGGGGTGATTTTTGAAAAATACCTTGCCTTATATTGGGGTATATATAGTCTCCTGCCTTTTTTTCTCTTTTTCTTTTAATTGAATGATATTATAAGTGTTTTTCCCATGTCATTACAATGTAAATATGACATCCTGCACATTGGACAGTGACTTTAGGCTTTATATCTGGCAAGAGCTAGAATGACTGAGATCACATTTTTGTGCATTACCTCTATTTCCTTGTGATAGGTTCTTAGAAGTGGAGTTACTTAGTCAAAAGTAGTAACTTTTGTTTAAAAATTATGTTTTATTCAAAACATTACTTAATGTTCTTGATATATGTTATTAAATTACTTTCTAGGTATCACCAATTTACACTCCCACTGCTGGGAACATAAAAGTGCCTATATCTCACTTCATCCGTGTGAACAGTACTATATCTTTGCCAATTCGACAGGTTAAAAAAGGAATCTCACTCATTTTCTTTTGCATTTGTTTTGCTGTAAAGATGGGCCTTTTTCTTCATACTTCCTTCTATGAACTGTCAATTCATGTTCTTTACCATTTTTCTATTAGGATCTTCATATTTTTCTTATTGACTTTTAAGAGTTCTTTACATATTTACGATATTAATCATTTGTCATATTTATGACAAAGATCTCTGTGTGAGATTTTCCTTTCAGTGTTGTGGCTGTTTCTAATGTACATCTCTAAAGTTACTGCATAGAAACAGGCTTTCAAGGACACTAAAATACCAGAAACAAAGACATTGCTTGCAGTCTGCTCCCTATAATTCCCAGTCCCTGGAAATGAGACTATGGCTTTGCTGACATTACATTTAGCTTGAGAGCAAGAAGGGACCAAGATGTCCATGAATATTTCCCGTTAAGGGCATGAATTCTTTCTGTAAGTTGTTCCTAAATAGGGATGCAAGTACCAAATACAAAGTAACTACGGCACATCATGCAATTAGCTTCTCAGATCTCGCATGACCCTATCTTGTTCACACAGAGTCACTGCAGTTGTGTACTTTCCATTAGGCATTCTGATGTAATGAGACAAGATACATCTGCTTCTGCTCTCCACGGCCATTTCATTTCCGTTGAGTTTCTATAACCTTGGCTATGGAAAATCAACAGCTTAACCTAATCTTTCTGTGGATAGGGATTATGTGAATAGGGATGGGGTCATGGAGAAAAAAATCTCTTCCTGCCCTTCTGTGGCCCCTCAAAACGCTGAAGATATATAATCAAAGCTTTCAATCTTTTCCCTTGAGATTTCTTTTATGGGTTTTATACTTAGAAAATCTTCCATACAGAGGTCAGGTTAATATTCATTTAAGTTTTCTTCTAGTCTTTTGATAATGTGTTTCATACAATTTTAAAAAATTATCTGAAAATAGTATTGATACACGGTATTTACAACTATAAATCTTTATTTCCTCCAGCAGCTATTTTTCCTAAGTCCTTTACTGAATAAATACAGAACCCTTCCCAACTGATTTCAGATTCTTTCATTCTTTCATCATAACAAGAACCTTAAATTACACTCATGTTTTATTTACTGACAATTCTGACCATACTGTTTTATTAAAAAAGTTTTATTTTCAAACATATCAAAAATTCACCCCTTCTAACTTTTGCAAAAATGTTTTAGTATTTTCCCTTATTCATTCTTCCAGAGAAATGTTAAAAATCATTTTATCAAATGTAAACAAAACAAAAAAACAGTGAGACAAGGCCTTGGAATAAAAATATAAATAATTGGAAAGAAACCTGACACATTAGAAATATTTTGGTTCCCTCCCATTGCAGAGTCCACTGGGAGTAATGCCTGCCTTACAGTCCATTTAGTACTTAGCCCTAAACAACCATGCTCAGACTACGCACCCCTCTCACTGGATTGCTGAGAGCTCAGAAAGCTACCTGCATGTTGCTATTTCCCTGCTTCTAAGGGTTCTTAATAAATCTTATTTTCCATTCACACACACACATGACTTGGGTTCCTACTACCTAAATCTTCAACTATTGTGAATTAAACAATTTTAATTAGAAAAGTCTTATCAACGTATGGCTCAAAAAAGCAGTAAATCACATATGACAAAGTTTTAAATGCATTAATGTTCAACCCTTGACAGTACTTTACAAGACTCAGGGCTCTGCAAAACATGATGAAAATTACTATAGCGCTACTAAAGGGACTTTTACCTGATGGAACCTTTTAAGATGAAGAATTAGGATAGCTGGAACAGCAGAAATAAGCAACTGCTTCCTGGCATTAGTATAAATCCCTTCTGCTTTCTTTTCTGCATAAAATATAATTAATTTATTTGTAAGATTACATTTTATTCATTATTTACAAAATAACTTAGTCAATATCTATATAGAAGCACCATACCACATTTTTTAAAATATTAAAAAGGAAATTAGAATGAACTATTGATATATGTAACAGCATGGATGAATCTCAAAGCATTATGCTAAGTGGCAAAGAGGTAGAGACCAAAGGCTATATACCATATGATTCCATTTATTGATATTTATTGATGGAGAAGGCAAAGCTACAGGGAAAAGAATCAGGTTAGTGAGTGCAGGGAATGGAGAATGGGGGAGGGGATTCACTGCAAAGGGGCACAATGAAACCTTTGGAGAAATGGAAATGCTTTATATCTTTATGATGGTTACATGACTGTATATGTTATCAAAACTCATTAAACTATACACTTAAAAAAGATTAATTTTATTGTATGCAAATTATATACTGCATGCAAATTCTACCATATGCAAACTCAGTAAATCTGGTTTTTTTTTAAGGAAAAAATTTAGACTTCTGGTTACAGGGTGCCTCTACTCCTTTCCAAAACCACTAAAATGATTGTTTTTTAAAGGCACGGACTTATACAGACAAAGAATGAGTGAGGTGACATTTGCAACAAACTTTTGGAAGCTGGAAAGGAGACGGTCTAGTAGTGACTTATGACAATGCCTCCCAGCCAAAGACCACCAGAAACACACCTATAGTTGATACAATTAGCTATTATTCATTGCAGTGAAAGGAGATCATGTATGATGGGAACCATGGAGCATTTTAATTAGAGGATGTTAGAAAGGACTTGTGGGGCCGGCCGAGTGGCGCGATGGTTAAGAACTGGCTTGGGACGCCAGAGGCCCCGGTTCGGATCCCACACATGAGGGCCAGTGACACTGC